CCAAGCTGCTTTGCTTGAGCTTTGTTGGTGAAATGCTCCGATTAAAATCAGTATATATAGGCATTGCGTCCACGTGAGCCCAGTCCCAGGAAGAAATCCAGCACGCCTCTGTGCCATACCACATTGACCATTAGGCTATTATCCCATTTGTCATGTCTCTACCAAACTGTGAACCGTCGTGTCTATCTCTGCTTCGTGATCGACATTGCATGGATGATCTCTTGCCTTGGAGTTCCTATCCACAGCATCCTTCAACGACGACGACTGTGTAACTCGCTCACCAATTCCTCAAAATGATCCCATTTGACTTGTGACTCTGTTTACGCATTTTGTTCAAGTCTTCAACCTACTGTCACTCAAGTTTGGCTCTTCACACTTTGGATGCTTCTAGGCGGACTGCCAATACCATCCACCATGGCCTCCCTTTCGTTCTACCTGAATTCTGTATCCTCTCAGACCTTTTCATCAATCTATATACTTCTTTTGTTCTTATTACAACCTCTAGTGTCGCTAGAGGCTACTTATCTCGCTTTCACCACCACCCGTTGGACGTCAAGGGTTGCGATGCCAATCAGCCAGCCCAAACAGCACAAACAAAAGAGACACATTCCGCGGCAAATTGCACTGCATTTCTTACCACATCTTTATTTTCCCATTGAAGCAGTCTGAGATCCGTCGCCAAAGCTCACGGTCACAAACGCTATCCCTCTGTTGAGCCACGCCTCGTGGCTGCTATGACTCACAAACAAACCGTAATGCTGCCACCTTGTAGCCTCTCCTGAAAAGAAAGACTTTGGAGTGACGAAAACCTCTGCAACTTTTTTCCCTTGTCAGTGATCTGTGACTTTAGTGTTAATTGCCCAATTGTTTCAGCAATACTCCCGCCTCGCTAACATACCTTGACCCTTGCAACTGTCACTCGGCCAGTACATCACCGTTTCTCAAGTAAACTTTGTTATCAAGAATGTCGTATATGATTTCGGTCTCAATTGACCCCTCTGCCAATGTATTCTCCCTCGACTGCGCATCGTTAGCATCTTGACGAGGACTTCGTGAGACTCATGGGGTGATGAGACTGCTGACAGCAAGCTAGCATACTGGACATACTTCACCTAAAGCCGTACTAAATATATACTAAATTTACAGAAAGCTTTCAGCTCTTAGGAAGGAGATCCTTAGTCTTTTTGGTCTCCGTAATGTAGTAGCCCCGGGTGAGTGATCACCACATGCGAGTGGATAACATATACGGCTATCATCAAGCTCCAGTTCGTCAAGGTTCGGATTGTAATGGGCCTTTAATCCGTTTCTTCGCGCAGGACATGTCGCTATACGTATCTTGGACCGAGATACGACCAAGACCTACTCCTCAAGTTGAGGGTGCTCCGTTGTGGGAAGCGGGATCCAGTGGTGCTTTGTTCCCATCACATCTTGGTGTACTCCGTATACATCCCTGTTCTGCTAAGAATGTCACATCGAACTGAGCAGCCATCGATCGTAATTCTTGCTTCAGTTATGCCAGGACGCGCATGCCCTTCACAGTAGCTAGTATCAACAAGGCATGACTACAACATCGAATCGGCACAATACATAAGTTTCAGATGTATAAGCATTGCCGTTTACCCAAGATAGCAAGTTGTTGTTTAGTTGTGCGATCAGGCAATACAGAGACTTTACTCAGGCGAACGGCACACAGATATTCTTCAAGATTCTATTAATTCATATATCTCGCTGACATGCTTCCCTCCCTATCTATTCATATGTATCCCGCCAGAGCAAATATCCTCAATTGCTTGCTGGCCTCACACAAGGGTATCTGCCTATCCCGGTATAGTAATCCACGCATAAAACCGCCCGAAAGATGCAATATTGAACAGAGAGAAAACAAACACATGCTGCAGTTAAACAATTCTGTGCCCTATGCAGCGTTCCATGACTTTGGTTTCCCGTCTCATCTCATTCCATCCTTCTTCAACACCGTGGTATCTCAAAGCAAACAAATGACTAACAATGACACTCAAGAAAAGACGATAAAAGGAAATAGGTATGTGGTTGTCCTGGTATATCCATGACAGAGAAAAAGGAAATGTGTAACAAGAGAAAGTTCGTCAGATAGTGGAGGATGGGTATCCTGTCGTTATGTTCCTCGTCCTCCTCTTCGGGGGTGATTATTAGTACAGATATATGGTAATGCAGAGTTTGAGAAAGAGAATAAATGAAATCATGATGCTCAAAGAATGCTTTTCCGTTCCGAGATTTTAAAAACGCCTTATAGTCTCATGTCCCCGTCATCCAAGTAAAATGTCGTGGGTGAGCCAAACTGTTGCTGCTGGGCCTGGGGCATGAAGCCAGGGTTGGATGTGTACCCTTGTTGGGGGTGGCCCATTCGCATTGGCAGTTCGTAGCCTGCTGGCATAGACGTGGGAATCATGTCGGCATACATGGCTGGCACAGGAGGGACAGCCTCGTGCTCAGAAGCAGGGCTTCCATACACGCTTGTCTTCTTCTTGGGACGCAGGTTCTCAAGGCTTAGTCGCTTGCCCCAAGATCCAGGCCGCTTTGAAGGAATGGGTGTAGCAGGACGAGGAGCTACAGGTTGTTGAGGAGGCATGTAAACATTGGTCATGACAGTGTCTTGTTGAGTGAAGTGCTGTTGCATGCCAGTCATGTCCCATTGTTGCTGAGGAAGCTCTTGACCAGGTAGAATGTAGGTCATGGAAGCATCAGCAAAGGTGTTCATCTGGTCAGGAGCAAACTTGGGTGCATCCACTGGCCAGACATGCTCGTTAGGAATGGGGAACGGTGTTCCAGGATGAGGACCAGCAGTGAGATCATCGTGAACCATAGGCTCAGGAAGACCATCCATTGGTGTCGTGGGTCGAGTCTCCTGCTTGATGCGTCGGGCAGGGAATGAAGGTGCCTCTGGTGTCTGAGGAGCCTGCTTCGTCACAGTGACCATGGGTGTGTTGGTCTCACTGGTCTCGGCCGTCGTGGATTGAGCACCATCGGCATGGCCAACAGTGTCCATCAAGCATTGAGATCGGAAGGGCAGAGAGAACTGCAAGTCAATCTCGCTTGGTGGCGGTGTAGTAGGGCTGGTGAAAGGCGATGTGCCCAGGATGAAAGCCAGACGCACAAGTGTTGAGATATCCTCACCGAGATGACGGGCCTCAAGCATACGCTTGAGATCACCGGAGGAGCGAGGGCGCCATGTGAGTTGCATTCTCTTCTCCTTGGGCCAGATGCAAGTCTTGAAGACAGACTTGACCTTGGATTGACGCATGAGATTGTGCACTTGGACCTTGTACTCCCAGTTGTTCACATCAAAGCCATCCTCAAAGTGCTTAGCGATGTGCTCAAAGTACTTGTCGCGGCTGGCAGAAGCCTGGTCGTTGGATGAAGCCTCAAAGACACGGTCCTTGCAGCTGGCGAATCCACAACCAAAGACAACCTGAGGGCACAACTCTGTCTTTGCAGTGCTGTTGGGGAGAGCGTCCATGCGGTGAGTCTCTTTGGCGTGAGTGCTGTAAGCTCGCTCAGTAGCGAAAGAGAGATGGCAGCCTTTGGTCTTGCAAAGCCAAGTCACATCAGCACCATGGAAATTGTACAGATGCTTCTTGAAATCACTTTTCCTGCCGAAACCAACGGGATTGTTGTCGAGGAAGCACATGGGGCACTGATACTTCTTAGAGGTTGGTGTGACATGCCGGGGCGACGGGTGAGAGGTGACATCGCATGANNTCTCACCGTCGTGAATCGAGGGAACGTCGCCTGCGTTATCCTGCCATGTTGATTGGGTTCGAATCGAGGCCGCATCGGATCGTGCATGAGAGGCCTCAGAACTGCTCCATGCTAGTGAGGGAGCGCTGGTGTTGCTGAGGAGTGTCGATGCTGAGAAGGTAGAGGCTCGGGCTGTTAATTGTTAGCAGGGCTTACATTGATTTGTGTGGTGGAAATCACTCACATCCAGCACCCAGACCGCTTAAAGCGCACACGAGACTTGAGACGCCGTAGCGTCGGGTAAGCCCCAAGAGGATCTGCTGGTCCTCTTCGGACAGAGGCCTCACTTGGTCCTCTTGAACTGGAAAGGGAAACATGTTCATGTTGTGGTTGAAGAGTGCTTGAGGCTCGGTCGACGATGCGATAACGCGCACTCAGCGCTTGAGTGACTTAACAACAGTGACACGAACAAAAGAGCAACGGCTAGTGTCGAGGTCGATGTCAGCAATAGAAAACAGTCGCCGACGATGTGACTATCATCAAGTTTGAGTCGGCGAAGTCGAGTCGACAGTCGAGTCTGCGAGGCGTCGTGAAGGCCTGGCGATACCAAGGAGCGTCGGTGAGTTGAGTTAACGTCCGGCGATAGTAGATCAGCAAACACGGTTCGAGTCGTGTGAGTGAGTGCGAAACGAGGGGAAATCGACAGCCCGCGACGATTAGTGTTTGGTAGTTTAGTCGTTGAGTCGTAAACTGAGAACGCTGTGGAATGGGATGCGATAGTTGCGATTCTGTGGGTATGAATGTATGTGATTAAAGCAGAGAAGAGCAGAGCAGATCAATTAATGTAAGAGTGAAGAATAGACGAGACACGACGAGACACGCAAGGGTCCTTGTTTGAAGATGGGGGAGGCAGACATAAAAAGTATGGGTAGGCCAGGTAATAGAGAAGGTCAAGTCAGTCAGTGTCAGTCAATGTCAGTCAGAAGAGGGAGAGTAGAGCAGATGAAGTGTAGGCAGTAGATAGTGAGGCAGGGGACAGAGAGAGACTAGAGACTAGAGAGAGGCAGAGGCAGAGGCAGAGACAGAGGCAGGACAGGACAGAAGAGGAAAAGTCCTTCTAGAAGCTTTCTTCGAATCCCTGGACTTGGGTGAGACATTATAACGGGCTTGCCGGAGTGATCGCTCACTGTCGACCCACGCTTGACTTATCCATGTCCTGGCTAGTCTGAGGGCTAGTGACTCCGTCAGCCAGGGAGTCCCCTGTTCATCACCAAGGCCGTTTCAGGAACGTGATTCGCTCAGAGAAAGTCTGTTTTTTGCAGCAGACGGAGAATCGAGTGACGTGCCTGTCGATGATGTACTTTTTGGGGAGTTTCACATGAGATGGGATCAACAAGGACCCAGATATCTCCTTTGACATACTGTACATCGTACACTCTGCCATCAACTATACTCCCAACAGTGGCTTTTATGCCATTCAGGCGTGCCTTACTAAATTCTCGATAGCCCGATTAACTCGGTCCTCGCTCTTTTTGGGTGTGCTAAAGTGACCATTGCCCTAGACTAGTATAGTAAGGTCTGTCCTTTTCTGTTATGGTCAGGCTGGGTAGCAACCTAACGGACGGGGCTACCAAGTCGAGTCCGACTGAATTGCGACACCCAAGGATGATGAAAATTCGGCTGGAGCTACCGATAAACTCATCTCATCTCATCGAATTTTAAAGTGTATGCGGTGCTGTCTGGGTCTGGCTGTGCTGTGCTGTACCCAAAAATAATAAGGGACTGCGCCAGCAAATTACGTTGCCTTGGTATTACATTACGTAGACGGGCATGACACGACCTGCTGAAACAGTTCTGCCGTCTTTCTAGAAGAAGCTGCATGCAAGAGAGATTACATGACATTTGCTTTTCAGCGCGATACAACATTGAAGACATACATACCTGCAGACATATACGGAGTATTAATTAATGGAGGGTTGATGATTTCACTCATGGTGGGCTCCTTTTTCTTGTCTTGTGTCCTGTGCTTTGAGGTCAGTGAGTTCATCACATCGACAACCTGATGAACCCTGCTCTTCCTCGCTTCGGGTTCGTTTGTTTCTCGAGTCCGTCAAGAGAGAGTCCAAGTGCCGTTCAAAACCGTTGACACCTTGAGCAGACCATGACCAGAAGTTGTACGTAACTGAATCAAGCCCAACTCGAGCAACTTGATCACGCACAAAGTTTAGTTTTTAGTCTCGTTAGTCAGAACAACTCTATCGCTACCAATCCCCTAACTAACGAGCACACATACATAAAACGTGGCTTCCGAGTATCGGTCACCCTCTCCACTCGACTTCTCGACTTCTTCAGAAGAAGAAGACCACGACAGAGCCAAGACCCCGTAATAGTCAAGCGCATCAGCAATAACGCGGGCCAGCAGACGACCCTGTTTCAGCGGGAAATGACGATGGGCCAATCTCTGGCTTCTGCTGTGAAAGACGGCGTCTGAATGGCCTGCCGAGACTTTACGGTGCGGAGTCTGGAGGGTTGCCTTTGGATCGTATTGGCCTGAGCATGGGGGGGTCATGACACGAGCCTGGTCAGTGTCTAAGCCACTTTGGAGAGGTGAGTCCCCCCCTGTAGATGGGATTTTGGTAGCCGTAATCCTCAGTGAGAGGAAGAAAAAAAGAGGTCAAAACATTTGATCAGTGTGGATGCTGGTGTGAGGTGAGGTGAGTGGTGACATCCAATGCTCGCCCAGCTACGGTGAGAGTCCTTGGCAAGATGACTACTTATTAACTTGCATTCACTTTCAACCCCATCTCATGATAATGACGATGATTGTCTGTACAACCAACGATGGTGCTGCAGCAGCCTCGTTCCCAGTAGATTGAAGAACCCCCCCCAAGAGTCGACAGCAACGCCATTTCCGCAAAACAACAACTTGAAAGAAAAAGAAAGGAGGCCCCAAAAACTTCAATGCGACAAGTCACTTCACTGAAGACGTTTGTGCCGTATCTGGCTGATTAGGGTTTTTTGTTTGCATTTGCTTTGTTTCATCTCACGTTCTGACCGCTTCCCTGTGGCGTTTGCTTTTTCTTCTCGAAAAATTCTGGACCTTACGCGACACGAGTGGTGAGTGGTGGCTGACTTGCCAGAGCATCCATCAGCGGGTTGAAATTACAATGCGTTGCTTGATGGAGGGACGGATACAGTACTCTTTGGGTAGCTCACTCATGCAACCGATGCGTTTCGGGCACCATGATCAGCACTGTAGATCCTGAGCCATAGCCATGCTTGCTTGTGCTTTTTGCTTGCTCTCACGGTTGCCTCGTGATGGTATACCCTTGCAAGTTAAAGGCAAAAAGGCTGGGGTAACAGAGAGATGATGTGCTGCATTGCATTGATGAATCGCCCACCAACAACAATTCAATCCATCAATCAATCAATATTGTGGTGACATGCCTGCTGCAGACCGCGACAGGCCCTCTCTTCTCCTTCTGTTCCTGTCGTTTGTGAGGCATCCTATCCTCTATCGGGAACCCTTGCCATCAACCCAAGTCTTCCGATTTGCCCGTGCTGCTGCGGTGCATCACTAAGGTACTAACCAAGTCATCATGTAACTCATTTACCCTGGGACCTGAAGACAGGACTCGTTCAGCTCATATCCCCGCAACCACTAGAGTCGAGACCACTCTAATACCACGCCACGATGGAACGTTATGACTTGGGGAGCAAGATTCATCCGTGGAGCATAGCCTCACGAAGCCTTCGTCAATGATGCTGAATGATGATGGATCAGTCACGCTCACGCTCAACATCAAACTCAAGCAAGACTCAAGTGGAGTGAAGACGTGAAACCTTCTGTAACGCTCTCCCACGTGGTCCACCCGTCCTGTAGATCTTTGTCTAGACCTGGAGACACAACCTTAACTTACAGAGGGAACAAGTTTGTCCGTCCGTTGGCTGCGCTCCAGCGTATCCGTTCCTTGTCAAGCAATCAATTGGAGTCTTCAGGGCAGCCAAGTCCACCGGTTCTTATCACGGCATCGCAGCCATTCCCCTTCTTGGTCCGCACTCCACGTGGAGGTTATGCAGGTCCCCTATCTCCAGCATCCCCAAGAGTTTCACTTGACCTCCAACTTACATACAGCCTATTCAATTGTCCAGAGAACCCCTGTCAGGGATAACCCTCTCAAGCCTCCTCTTCCCTTGCCATTGAGCTCAAGGAAACAACGCCAAAAGCTGACATCTATTTTTGCCTGCCTCTAACTCGCTCATGTTCTCGGACGTCAAGCCACAAACTCATATAGACACATTCTGTGACATCTCGACATGCACTGTAATCAAGAATTGACAAGCAGCCATAAACCTTCTCTGCCGCGGCATCATCTATTCTGGGTTTATCGGGAGAGCCTCCCGCAAGCCCCAAGCCCCCCCAGGTCCTTATCTCGACCTCGCGGGGATCCTTGTCGTCCAGAGGGCTTAGGCCTCGTCCGTGAAGCTGGTTTCCGTCCGCGCTTTTGACTGTGCTTCAGCCTTTCTGTATATGCCGCTCGCTATTTTTCATCCCAAGGAGCGGCACTGATCACTTGGTGACTCTGCTTCTTGATCATTAACAGGACGAAATAAGCCGCCATGAAACATTTTTAGCATAGAGCTAGGTGATTCTCTCGGAATCATGGAGGTTTTACTTTGTTAGTTGACGAGATGTTGCATGCGATGAATGCAATATCACCTCATTTCAGACACATGTCAAACCGCGAGTTCGCTACCTAGATCCAAGCAAAGATCCGAATCTCGATACTCATCTTCACAATTTATCAGATGGAGAGAATCTTTCCGCGTAAACTCTATATCCTCAGACAAAGGACTCGTAGTCCATGATTCCATGCCAACGGCTGCTACCCTGTACAACGCTGTTTGTCTGGGAGAACTCTGTACAGTTGCATTTGCCCTTAAGACAAACTTTCTTGGCAGATCGTATGGCCAAAACAAGACATTCTATGCACTCGTATCTACAAGGAATGTCACTGACGACACAGTCACTCACGGCAGTTGCGGTTGTGACTCTAGCGTCAACACCATGTAACGCACGTCTTCACCCATCACTTCCACTGACAAGTCGATAGAGGGATGCTCTGTACGTGAAGCTCGGAATACGCCGTACCTTGTAAACTCTATTGTATTTTGTTTCTCCCTTGATCTGGGTTGTCCCTTGTTTCAGAGTTGTTTTGTCAGAAGTGTAATATCGTGATCGACATCTTGCGTAAACTCAGAAGCTTGGAGCAGATATCCGTAGCTCCGAGACCGACCGGCTACCTCGAACACCACAGGGACATGTCACCACCTTAGACTGAGAGAAACATGCAGTGGGCACCTCACGGATCCGACGTTAGCA